ATAGACACTGTATTATACGGTTCAATTTTTTATACCCCTTGAACTGGGAATGACAAAATTGTAATTGAATTCACTAATATTGTAAAGGAGCTGCAACTGTGAATGTTTCTCGTTCTTAGAGGGGAGGAAAAAGGTTAAAATCCTGAACTGGTTCCAAACCAAATTCCCAGATCTGAAGTTCCTGAAACTTGTTTCTGTGTAAATCCAGATCTGGATTTTTAAGACTTGGTCCAACCTGCAAACTCTCCTTTGCAGAGGATTCAGTCAAATTAGCTTAAATTTGAGTACTCAAAATAAATATTTTCTTTTATGGCAGGATTAAATAGGACAGCGTGTGTGCAGAATAGAGGAAAATGCTTTATTAGGGAATTAATAAAGCATTAGTAAGCAAAATCTATTTATGGTTTAAATCCACTGATTTCAGCTTGTCCCAGTTTCTAGACATGTAAGTGCTATGAAAGTACTGATAATTAATTTCAGTGACTACCAAACAACCCAGAATTCTATCAAAAGGAAGAGACTGACTTAGCTTATGTTGACTGAATGCTTCATTCAAAATGTGTACCCTGTTTTCTTTTAACAGGGTTAGAGCAGTTAACATGCTGAGAGTACTGATGCAGGAAATTAGATACTTCAAATACAGAGAAATCATTTTAACGTCCACAAAACGCTAGTTGAAATGAATGAAACAATCCAGTTGTTTCTCTCTTATCAACTTTTTGTCCTTCAACTTCCTCCTCCTGTTCTCTTGTTGGTAAGAGATGTTTAGGAATCTGTTTAGTTACCATTAGAGGAAATGCATACCAGATGCACAAAAGCACGTCAGGGACGTATGAGATGGAAGGACTGTCATCACACCTTTTCCGGTCACATTTCCACTTGGTCTCACAGTTTATACCTTTGGCTTCTTACTGCTGCACTGTGTTGTAGTGTCAAACTCCTAAGTTCAATATTAGTGTGGTATTCCTTCTGTTGTAGTTTTCTTTTGTGATATGTACTTGATATAAAAAACCAAAACCTTTTATATTGACAGACTCTTTAAAACCCACTTTGCCCTTTTCTGAATGAGCTAAGTAAAAGTGCTGAATTCTAGGAGTGTAAAAGCATACAGATAAGAAGCTCTGGTGTTCTTTTTAGGCAACATGTAGAAGAGTGTTCTTTAAAGTGCTATTGAACTACCTTTTTCTGCATAAGTATTTACAGGTCCGGGGCAAATAAAGAACACTTTGCTGCATATATTCCTTTCCAGCATTTAGTAGCAGTAGTAGTAGTATTTTATTTACATCTTTCTCCAAAACAGTACAATAAAATGAGCAATAAAATTATATATAACTAAAATAACGGCATTTACATACATTAGAACTTTTACTAAAAGTATGCAGTCAGATTGTCCATCCTACCAGTTCGCGTGAAATTAAAACAGAACATAGTAGGTGACAGAAAAAGTAAAACCAAGTAGGGAACAATGAAACAAAATGGGAAAATTCTGTATGATTTTTGGCCCTTAGTCTTTGTGCAAGTAATGCAAATACGGCTAAGGTCTCTTAGGTATGAGAGAGGCTCTGAAGTATTAGATTGCTTTTTCTTTATTAGCCCAGTATTTCATAGTTAATGGAGAGGTCCATTTTCCTCTTATTTCTTCAAAAAAACCAAACAAGACCACAAGTAATGATTTAAGTCATCTAGCTCATGTTTCTACAAGAGCAGATTTCGTTTGCATACGGGGTCCGACACCACCTGCCTGTGACAACTGCCAATCTCAGTCAAGTAATAGCCTTTCTTTGTAGTTTTGCACCTCAAACAGGTAGGTCTCTAGGCCAATTTTCCAGTATTTGAGACTACCTGCAATGTTTTTGGGACTTGAATTCAAAAGTGAGGATAGAGGGGTAGGAGACAAGATATACATGTTGTGGAACCACTCTTACTGCATTGAGGCCCTTTCCCTAGTCTGTCATGATCCACATTTTTTGTCCTGAAGAAATACTGAGGTGTATACCACAACTGAATTGTTCAGCAGTTTTCAAGAGGGAGGTGTTTTGAATTTGTCGGGGAGTTTTTCTTGAGTAGATATTTGTCAGTGTTGTTGGTGAAGCTGCTGAGGTCCAGAAATAAGACAAAAGCAAGATTTGTGAGGTGAGATAATATCTTCTATTGGGCAAACTTGTTGAGGAATGTCAGACAAGCTTTTGGACATCGGGGCCCTTCATCAGGTCTGGGAAAGAAACAATTACAGTCCAAATTAAATAAAAGAACAAATAAGCTTTAGCTTAACCTTAATTTGTTACTGAATTTAACCGCTGGAAAGAAAAACAGAGAACAGCAGAGAAATTAGTAGACAGATAGGTGAGAGATAAGTTATACTGAACCATAAATCCAGTGGCTTTAAGTCTGTCATTTTTGGTGTCCCATAAAGGTATGTGTTTCTGTTCCACAGCCTGTCTTCTGAAGGTGTTGTGCAAGTATCATCACAGCATTAGTTTTTGTTTTTTATCAGTGTACACTTGCCCAGAGGCTTTAAAGTTTACTTGTAGAAAGTCGCCTAGAAACTATGTTGTGATAAGTGGGCTGCTAATTCGTATTTTAAATTTGCTGTGTGCTGAAATCCAATCTGTAACCGCTGGATTCTCCACAGGAGGTTAAAAGTTAGGAAAAATATGTTGATCAGCTACCAGTAAAAAAAAGCACTAGATCAGCTCACAGGCTTTTGATTTTTTTTTTTGTTCACGTGGAAAAAAAATGCTCTGTGATATTCAGATTGCCCCTCTGACTCTTGGCTGTGTTCCTCACAGGATATAGTGGCAGAGTAATTCACTTCCCTTGTCTGAGTTTTCCAGGTCTTATGTTTTCAGGCTAGAGCATGTAGATGCTGGGTGTTGGCTAAATACATCTTTCTCAGCCACCACAGATATATCCTATATCCTTCTTTATCCAGACAGAGGCTGGGCTGTATTTGTAAATCTTCAGAATGGGACAACCAAGACCCAGTCACAAACCAGTAGCCATAGTATAACTATGCCCAGTTGGGGAATCATTTGATAAGATCTTCTGGGCAGACTGAATGTGTCTTGGGAGGGGGCTATTTTGTTTTCTAACTGTTGTGTGTGTATATATATATATA